AGATAAAGCCCATCTATTCTAATTTTATGAAAAGTTTTTATCAGGAATGAGCTTTGTCAAATGCTCTTTCTGCACCTACTGAGATGATCATATGGTTTTTGTCCCTAACTCTGTTAGTACAGTTTATTACATTTATTGATTTATCTATGTTGAATCATTCTTGCATCCCTGGAACAAATCTAACTTCGTCAAGGAGTATAATCTTCTTGATGACCCTGTGTATTCTTTTTGCCAGTATCTTTTTTAAGGACATTTGCATGTATGTTTTTAAGGGAGATTGGCCTGTAGTTCTCCTTTTGGGTTGGGTCTTTCCCTGGTTTTACAATCAAAGTAACACTCTCTTCCAGAAATGAATTTGGAAGCATTGCTTCTTTTTCACTTTCACTGAAAAGTTTAGAGTAGTTGTGATAGCTCTACTCTCAATGTCTTGTAGAATTCATCCGTGAAGCCATCAGTACCTAGGCTTTTTTATGTTACTGTTGGTAAAATTTCATTACCTTTTCTATTTCACTGGTTGTAATGGGGTGATAAGATTTTTTATATCTTCTTTGCTCAAAAGGGAATATTAAAAAGCCAGCAAGATATGAGTCAGAGTGTGGTGCATTATTTATTACACAGCTGATCAAAGAAGCATGTCTTTTTCCATTTGTTTTCTGCTGTCAATTCACTTGTACAATTTATTCTTAATATTCAGTTTTTGTATTGTTTTTGAACTTCCTGATTATATAACAAAGTGCACAATCTACTTTCTAACTATTCTTATAACAGTATTATTTATATTGCTTTCTTTCAATAAAATACTAAACAGTTTTCCACTGCTAAAAAAAAAGGAGGAAAAATGAAAGATTTGTTGTACAAAACCAGAATACAGACCTTCTGCAGAAGAGAAGGTGATCTTGGGACCAAGGAAAAGGGGGTTAGGAAGATAAGAGGGAAAAGAAATAAAGGGCATTAATATGATGAATATAAATGCACCAAATCACCACAAGAATGTATTCATTTTGTATCACAAATATGTAATAAAATTAACTTAAAAATACAGATATTAGCAAAAAGAAAACTAACTTTTAATTACACACCACGTAATATTTTTCTGTATGTATGTGCTGTGTAATCTATGTAAGAGTTTAAACACGTTTTCCTTTTCAATCATTTGTCATTTGTTCATTGGGAGAACATTCAAACTAATTTTTATGGATTTCTGAAATTTAGAATAGGTTATTTTCATCCATAGTGACCATTCTATACAGTTGCACATCAGAACACTTCCACAGGGATGAACTATTTCACTTATTAAGTGAAATAATCTAGGTGCAAAATAAAAAATAAATAACTGCATGATCTCATTCATATGCAGATTTTACACAGAGTTGATATCATAGAAGGGGAGCAGAGGGAGAATAAATGTGGCTGCAATAATGTAGGGTACAAAATTCCAGTTAGATATGACAAATAATTTCAAGGGATAAGTTGTATAGCATGTTAGCTACAGTTCATGATATATTGTATTCTTGAAAACTTCTAAGTGGATGTTAGTTAAATGTTCTCTAAAATAATAACTAGTTGAAGTAAGATGTATGACAAATTTTGCTGACTTACTGATTTCAAATTTATTAGACCTCCAAATATATTTTGTACATAGAAACACATAAAATTTTATTTGACAATTGAAAGTATAAATGTTAAAATTAAAAAATTGAAAAAATACTATGTAAGACTTGTTTCTTCACATCTTTGTGGTCATATAATCATCCATAAAATCTCTAATTGTACTTCAAAGATGTTTCTCTGAAAGACGTTCTTGGGTTTGTTTTACATGAAGAAATCACCTGCTGGCTAAGTTAAACCCTGTATTTGGAAAAACAAATTAAAGGGAAGTTTCTCCTTTGAGGAAATAAATGTATCTCCTTTCAGGTTCCCTCAAAAAAAAAAACATTGACTGAAATTCTTTCACTCTGCTTTCTTTTTGATTCTCAAGGGAGCTGAACTGTTTGGATACTAGAAAGACCAAGTAACAATTTATTTAATTAGGAGCCTTGAGATTCCAATTGTAAGATGCTAGAGACTGTAAACAAGACCCTCTTGCTCCTTATTTGTAACTCCATGGTTTAACAAGTGGGTTTGGGGAACATATTGGGTACAATAAAAAGTGACATTGATAACAACTGGAACGAATCCATGTGTACTTTCCAGGGGAGATGGAGGTAGAAATAAAATAGAAGACAAGCAGATGAAGGAAAAAGAAAAAGACAAAGGAACATGGGCGTGGGGCTTCATGTCTAGAGTAATGATACTGAGAGACTTCCATATATAGTCTACGTTGATAAAGTCTCTGTTCTTTGCACTTTGAAGGAAATTTGGTTTTGATAAATATTTGTCTTTTTCATTTACTTGTGCTTTCTTTTGCATTATAAATTCAAACTTTTCAAGTTGTATTTTCCTGTCAGATTTCTAATAAAATTATTTATTTTTTACTGCATACTGAAAGTGTATTAGGCATGAGGTGTCATCTAGTTTGCTCCAATTGAATTGGTATTTGTTTACCATATACCCTAGTTATTTCTAAAGGGAAATACCATTTTAATAGCTCCTATTTATTTAATTTATTATAATTATAATTTCTCTTAGTGTCTACACTAGCAACTTTCAAGAAAGTTATTTCTGATAATTAATAATAAATTCAAATATTCAAGAAAATATCAAATGATTAAATTTGAAAGACGGTCTTCGCATTTTCATTAATTCCATAGAAATATTGGAGTATTTTAAAGTAATATCTCCTGCTGGCCATTGTTTGAATGAAATCATTTTTTGTGAGTTAGGAAGAAATCTGGTTTCTTTGTTTATGGACAAACTTCAGCCTGGGTGCTCACCAGGTAAATGTGCTTTACATGTTTTCAAACATGTTTTTCTATTATAATTGTGGTTCAAGTTTATATTTATTGACCTGCTTTTCGATGAATTAGGATAATCAACATTCTTATGTTAAGCATGATTCTATTTTTATAATTGGTGTTATTAGGTAATCATAAGTTGTTCCTTTAAAACAGCTGTAGGTGCATTTTATGTTAATTTAATACTGTTTGTGTATGTATGAAACCTTATGGTAAGCAGGAAGATTTCTTTCTTTTGGTATAGAACATTTTGGTTTTGATGCATGTTCTTGTTCAAAACTTTACAATAAGAAAGGGACCACATAAATTGCCTTCAAGAAAAATGTTGATTCTTAATTTTCACATCTTATAGGCCAGTGTCTGTTAGGGAAGTTGCCCAATCTGTTCTCTCAGCCTAAAGTAGTTTTTCCTTTCTCATCTCTTCTGATTGGCAGTGATGCATCTTTTCTCTCTGAACTCAATTTGTCTTATTTCAGAGAGACACTCTTACCCATCTTTATGAATAACTGGTCCATGATAATATTTTTCTGTTTCATATAATTGGAACATCTCTAGGCTTTCTTAATACTGACGTTTTATGTCATGTAGGCTATAACACACTTTGTGAGTCATTATTTGCCTTTTAATGTTTCTAGAATAATTCTATTTGTATAAATATTTTAGTCAAACCCATCTATATATACTTTTTGCCATTAACTTTGATTACTTTAAATGTAAATCCCAAGGAAAAAGCATGTACACAGGAAAGCACATAAGCACACATGCCTATTATATGATTTTATTGGTGGTGTGCTTTCTTTTACTTCTTTGTAAATCAACCACATGCTTTTTCTTCTAGGAGGAACTCATCAGACAAACATTCCAGCAAAGAAGGAGTCATAGAGGTTTTTGTTAATTAGAAATTCATGTGGGGATTAGTAATGTAAAAATGAGCAGTAGTATTTATAATAATTAGAATTCCAACCATGAGGATTACCACAGCTTAAAGAAATATTTATAAATGACAGCACTCCAAGAAATACTTTTTGTAATATTAGGAACAGAAATTTACTTCTTTGAGATGGTTATTTTATCAAAAGAAGCAGAACAATAATAACATTCATTGAATTTTTCTTTAATCTTACCAGGTAGTGAACATGCACTACCCATATTGCCAAGATGAGTTGTTTGCAAAGTTTATTTTTAATTCATTTATTTTTCCTTATTGAGTTTATTAGTACATTTTAGGTATACAGTACAGTTATATTCATTATTGGTCCTTTCAGAGTTTAAATTGCTTTCTCAAGGCCACAATATTATTCCGTAGGTGATGAGGATTCTATTCCGTAATGTGTGACTCAAAATCCAATTTACAAACTATACACTTATATAATACCTTCGGAAAGTTATATATCCAAAATAATTTTGGTAAGAAAGGAAGATAATATCTATACCAAGAAGGATTGCTGTCATTTATTGAAACTTAAACTGAGAACCATAAAGCCACTGTTTCAATATAAATCACATTTTTAGAAAAAAGTATGGTAGTGAAATTGAACTATTACATCAATATGAATTGTGAAATCATACAATAAAGACTCTAAAACCATCACTATTAAATCACTACTATAGATATAGTACAGTGAAGAACTAATGAAATTATCCAAGAAAATACATGTAAAAAACTTCAATTTCTTTGGAAAGATGATGCAACAAAACGTTTACATTATATTCATAAATTTTAAAATTAAAACAACTAAATCAGTTATAAAAATAAAGAGTAAAATTGTAACATTCTAAGGAATTGGGATTGATCATACATATTGGAAAGGGAAATGAGCCACCATGTGGCTGAATGAATCACTTTTATTGATCAGACACATTAGTGATTGAAACACATCCATCAAAAAATAATAATATAAAGAGGTTACCAGACAGGCATGATGGTGTATGCCTGTAATCCCAGCACTCAGGAAGATGAGGCAGGAGGATTGCTGTGTCAAGACCAGCCTGGACTACATAGTGAGTTCCAGGTCAGTCACAAAGAAAAGAGGTTTCCATGTGAGGTCCCAGGTGATTGTTCATTGAACATTGCTTTCTTCTTTCTCCTGAAGGCAGAGAAGTAACATGAAAGCTGAAAACCACACAGGGGTAGCACAATTCTTCCTCTTGGGCCTTTCAGATGATCCAGAACTTCAGCCCCTTCTCTTTGAGCTGTTCCTGTCCATGTACCTGGTCACAGTGCTCGGGAACCTGCTCATCATCCTGGCTGTCATCTCCGACTCCCACCTCCACACCCCCATGTACTTCTTCCTTGCCAGCCTATCCTTTGTGGACATCTGTTTCACCTCCACCACTATCCCAAAGATGCTGGTGAACATCCAGACACACAACAAAGGTATTTCCTATGTACAGTGCTTAACTCAGGTTTATTTTTTTGTTACTTTCCTGGGAATGGATAATTTTATTTTGACAGTGATGGCCTACGACCGCTTTGTGGCCATCTGCCACCCCCTAAGATACAGACTTATCATGAATCCTTGGCTCTGTGGACTCCTTGTTCTGATGTTTTGGGTCATCATGTTATGTGTCTCCCTTACTGCTGTTCTTCTAATGGTACAAATCAACTTCTCTACAGGCACTGAAATTCCTCATTTCTATTGTGAACTGGCTCAGGTTCTCAAGGTGGCCACATCTGATACACTCATCAATAATATCTTTATGTATGTGGCCACTGTCCTGATAGCTATGTTTCCTGCATCTGGGATCATCTTTTCTTACTCTCAGATTGTCTCCTCCTTGCTGAGGATGTCCTCCACTGCAAGCCGGTATAAAGCCTTTTCCACCTGTGGGTCTCACCTTAGTGTGGTCTTACTGTTCTATGGAACAGGACTTGGAGTTTACCTGAGTTCTGCTGGGAACCATTCTTCACATGAAAGCTCTGTTGCCTCTGTGATGTACACTGTGGTGACCCCCATGCTGAACCCCTTCATCTACAGCCTGAGGAACAAGGATGTGAAGGGGGCCCTGAGGAAACTCCTCTGCAGAGTAGCCTGTGGCTCTTTATGGACCAGTGACGTCAGAAAGAAGAGGATGTTACAAACCCTCAGGAAACTGCTGTGAATTTCAATATAATTTCTCAGTTTCTCTCCTAAATGACAAGTTTAACTTCTGGTGTTCCTAAAACACTTCTATTTTGTTTTGTATATTTTTTGTATGTTTGTTTCTTTTCAACAACTCAAGATTTTCTTTGCATTTGTCTTTTTATTTATGGTGCACGAAGTTTCAAAGTTAATAAAAATTCTCATATATTTCTGAGACTTCTAAAATAAGAGAAACATATGTATCAGTGGCAGATATGATCTTCAAAATAATTGCTTGATGGTAATGTTCTTCACCACAATACGGGTATATTCTGCTTTGCCCAAGTTAAATGGAATAAGAAATGTTGGAGTATTTACCATATCAGTTATGCATGTGTTATTATACATATATAACTTTATTTATTATTGAATGATTATATTTGAGATATTTTCTGTCTTTCACATAGTTTCTGATGGCATGAGGTTGAGATGCAGGAAAACTGTATACTGACACTAAGTATATTCCTACATTTGTTATCTCATGTAATGTGTGTTAAGACAATGGTTAGATTTTCGGCATAAAAGCTGGAATCTACTTTTGAATTTGTTTCTTTATTCCATTTCAAGTGATATGATGACATAGTAACTCTGAGATTTGTAGCAATTTGGGGAATTTATTTTTTCTCATCTCATTTATTTTCCTTTTCTTCCCTTTTCTCCCTTATCATGTTCCCTTCCTTCCTGCTGTTATGTTGCACTTTTTATTCTTTCCTCTCTTCCTTTTTCCCTTCATTCTTCACTGCTTCTTTCTCCATTTTATTATTTCTTTCCTGTATTATTTCATTATCTTCTTCCTCAGTTCTTCCTTTTGTCTTTTCCTCTTACTTTTGGGCACTTTTCTTTGGTAATGTTAACTTGCTCCATTTATCGTTTAAGGATTAATAATAGTCCACTGTTTATACTACTCAGCATGTTTATCCATTGATTCATTGGTGGATATTTTGGTGGTTTCCAGCCTGTGGTTCTTGTGAATAGTGCTGCAATGAATACACAGGCACATTTACAAGTGTAGTCATATGCTACATATCTGCTCTGGTATCACATAACATTACTTCACTTAATGAAATCCTTTTTATCTTTATTTGTTGGAGTACTGCATATTACTGGTGACAATGACAAAAATCATCATTAACAAAGCTCTAGTCAGAACCTAACCTCATTGTTGAGAAGTAAATAAATATGCTTGTTTCTAATTATTAAGGAATTATACCAAGGAGTGGAACAAATTACTGGATTAGAAAGTCATCTTGTACTTAATATCAAGAATAGATAAACATCTAGCACTGTAGTGTGAAAATTCTAATATAGTCATATACTCATCAATACTCATGATTTCCAATTTTATACAAAGTGAAGCCTATATTGGATTTGAAGCTGTATCTTATTGCAATTTTGATTTTCGTTTTACTATGACTAGTTAGGCACCTTTTTGAGTACTTTATGTACATTCTTTATGTTGTATAACAAATGTCTTTTCACATTTTCACTCATTTTGAAAGAGTGAATTGTATACTTTTGCCTCTGATCTGTAAGATTTCTTTCAACGTTGTACATATGTGAACTTAATCAGGTATTTGTTTTACAGATACATCAGCCCTCTATATTTTTAACATTTATTTCAGTTATACAACTTACTATTAACTATAATCATAATAACACTTAGTAGATCTCTTAGAGTTATTCCTCTCAACTGAAATTGTGTTTTTTGACAAACCCCTCTCTAATCCATCATCTCTGGAAGCCACCATTTCTTTCTCTGTTGTCATGGGACTGAGTACTTCATATTCTACAGGTGAGATCATGCAGTTTATCTTTCTATGGCTGACTCATTTCTCTTAGCAGAATGTTGTATAGCCTCATCTGTGCTCAACCAAAATATTTCATCATCTCTGGAAGCCACCATTTCTTTCTCTGTTGTCATGGGACTGAGTACTTCATATTCTACAGGTGAGATCATGCAGTTTATCTTTCTATGGCTGACTCATTTCTCTTAGCAGAATGTTGTATAGCCTCATCTGTGCTCAACCAAAATATTTCCTTGTCTTTATGCTGTATTTGTGTTAAATTGGATTTACTTTTCACCTTTATTTATATATTAATCTGGTAAAAAATCCTTAGCCTGATAATATATCTTGATATTGTGAATAATTCTGCCATGATTATGGGACTGTACTTTTGCCTTTATATATCGATGTCAGATGATTTGTATACATCTGCAATAGAGGTATTGCAGGATCATGTGCTAGTTACAGTTTTCATTTTCTGAAGAAATCCAAAAAAATTTCATGAGGGCTGCATGTTGATTAATATTCAAGGTTCCCCAGAAATCCAGAATTACTGTTATATCTGTGTGTAAATGTAGATTGATAAATGCTGGATAAAAGGAAGGAAATAGATGTAGAAAGAATGATGGGAAAAACTTTTCACTCATTGTGTAGATTTTGTGTGTATCAATAAATGATGACTACCTGCTCTTGATTTGGCCAATGATTGATGTAAAAACATAAATCTAATGGTTTTTCAGCCCTCCAGGGTAAAGTGCTTTTAGAGTTTATATAACTATCTTAAAGTAAATGAACAGCAGAATACATGATGCTAATAACCATAAATATGTACATTATTTATTTTACCTACAGTTTTTAAGTGAGGTTCCATTCATGTATTGCATTAGAACCCATGGGAGGTAAAATGTGCCCCACTCAAATCAGCTAATATTTTTTGCTGATTTTGGAACCAATTATCCTTACAAAGTTGATTTTGGAACCGATTTTCCCATATGTTGAACAATTATAATATGTTGATCCTGACAGTTTCCCATTATTTATCTGCAACTGTGTAAAATTACTGTTCTAATCACTGCATTCAGTTATACCTTCAGAATCATGTTTTCAATTAACCAATGATTATTAGAGTACCACAGATATGTACCAGTTAAATAAAATCACATTATATATAATTTACAAAGTCATACAGTTTGTAATAGCTTACATGTGAATTCCAAAATGCACATATAAAATCAATTCCTTTAATGTAAGAATAGAAAATATCATTAATAAGGAAAATGTTTATCTTACTCAAGGCACATAATCATTTCATACCTTAGGAAGAAATGTTCTGTTGCATTTCATTTGCTTCTCTATATGAGAGTTAGAAGCTAACCAAAATTCTTTGCTAAGAATTAATATATATGTTTGTTTCTTTTTTGGCTTTATGTTTGGTATAAACTACTTTGAATATAATGATACACTTTGTAATGATTATTGCTATTCTTTTTATTTGATAATGAAAATTTGCTTTTTTTTCTTAAAATATAAATATCATTTTATAACATGCAAAACTAATCAATATATACTTGTTGAAGTACCTACAAATGTCCCATTCCTTCTACTACCTGTATTCATTATTCTAATCAAAGTTTATTCTACCACTTTCAGTGGCTGCCATGCACTATAAAAATATTTCCTATTCAAGTTATTAATATATCCTGAATGTCTACTAAATCATTAAGTGAAAGAGGAAAAAGGACAGCTTTTCATGTGGGGAGAGGCTGCCAGGTGAAATCAGAATACAAGCTTACTATCTCAGTTACCAAAACTTTGATTATTAATTGGGTGAAAAAAACCTAACTGTGCCTGGTGACAGGGACATTGTGTTATATAAAGTAAAATAGGTAAAAGCTCAATGTATCTGTCATACAACTGTTAATAACTTTCAGACACCACTAAAGCCGTACTACAACAGGAACTGTAAGGACACCGTTAATTTCTCAGCCGGACACCTCAGCACAGATATATGTTTAAAACCAGCTTCATTTCCCAGGAACATTTTGAAGTACAATAATACCTTGATTCATGAATGTTTCTGTTCAAGAAAAATTTTGTTCTAAAATAGAAGCATTCTTCAGAATTTTGTTTCTGCTCATGAACTGCACATCAAGTGAAAACATGACCACAACCATCTTCCCCAGAAGCAAATTAAATTTGTGAACCAAGGTAGCACTGTATTACAATTGTTAAAAACTCACAGCATATATTTTTCTTCCATATTTTATCACTAAATGCCAACAAAACTAATTATCCAAGGAAAATAATACAAGAAGATAAACTAATTGGATAATTACCACAGGGCCAATGGAAAGAGGGAATAATGTGGTCAAAGAGATACAACAGAGACAGCCTTTAAAACCCTTCAGCCCAATATTCACACCAGGGAAACTATTTGGTATTTACACATGTGTGACTTATTTATTTCACTTAGCAGTATATCTTCAATAGATTACTGACATTTAGAAATTTGAAGAAAGGAGCTAAAGGTGTAGGGAAGGTGTGATGCGTAGGGGAAGAACAAAAAGGGAAAAGAAAAAAATGTGAGAGAATGAAAAGAGGAAAATAAAGTGTTTGTAGATGGGGAGGGGAGGAGGGGGTGAAGGGAGGGCAGAGGTAAGGGGAAAAAATGAGAATCTAGACTTGCCATGTAAAGGTACATGATCCCAACAATGAATGTAACTGTACTGTATCCCTAAAATGTACCAATAAACTCAATAAAATTTAAATTAAAAAAAAAAAACCTTCAGCCCAAGTGAATGAGAAGGGAGTAGTGAAAATAACCTAATAGTCAAAAGATAAACATGAGAAAAGGAAAAATGGAAACAAAGTCTTTGTAAATTGGGGAGAGGGAAGGGGGTGAAGGGAGGTCAGGGGTATGAGGAACAAATGAGAACCAATATCTGTAATGTAAAGGTCCCAATAATGAATGTAACTGTAATATATATATAATATATATACCTAAAAAGTACCAATAAACTCAATGAAAGAAAAAGGGAGGTTGGCAAGATAGCAGGAGGAAATAACCCAAAAAGCAGCAATAATAACTCTGAAACATCCAAGGCCATACATATCAAAATAGTATATTTTTCAAAACCCACCTCACCTCTTATTATGATTATTAAGATCATTTCTAACTCACACAATCAAGGTTGATGCCTTTAAGAAGTGTATGAAGCTTTTAAAATACTTAACATGTAGACAAATCTTTGTAAATGGAAACCTGTGGTAAAAACAACAACAACAACAACAAAAAAACAAACACACACAAAAAAACCCTGAAGCATCAGCATTTTATTTTATCAGTACACCTCTACAGTACACGAACTTTACATTCATCTTAGGGGGTGGGTGCAAGTACATAACACAGCTTTCTACGTTTTTAATCCCTTTACACTTCCCACCTATGTCCTTCCCTCCAACTCTTAAATCCTCTTTTCCTATTTGCATCTTAGTATTAATTTTATCTTGATTATTTTAGTTCATGTTTATGACACGTAATGATTACATTCTTTGTGGGTATTAGGTGCATGTTCAAGACACATCTCAAATATAATTTTGAAAGTATGTGTATTTTAATTACCTCAGGTGCTTCCACATAAAGCCAACCTTAAAAACCAGTTGTTATAAATCACATATGTGAAACCTCTTTTGGGATAGAGAGTATTTTGTTTTTTAAGAAAAGCTTATTCTAAGGGCTAAAATAGGGATAAATTCTTGCATCTAGCTAGGGAAAGCTGAGTTTATTGAGTCTGTTACAATCCTGTGTGGTTGGGCTGAGACTGGAAGAGAGAAATAGCAGCTGCTGCCTGTAGGAGATTTCATCCTTGGTTGGATAGTCTCTTATTTAGAGAGATATATTAGCAGCTAGCTGAGAAAGGAATTAGGCTTATTTAGATATAGAAAGGGCTAAGAATTTTGGAATGAAATATTTATGATTAAGTCAAAGGACAGTCAACACATGTGTGTAGACAAGGACTGGACTTTTCATCACTGGGGAGATTGTTTTCTGTTTACTGAGAAATAGACTGTGTTTGCTGAAAGCAGCCTGTTTGCTTTATTCCTACTTCTTTGTGAAGGACTCACTTAAACCAGGCATGATACTATATATATATATATATATGTATATGAACAATTTACATATGTGTGTGTGTGTAAAATACATCTCAGTACTTTACAGGGTGGCCAGGTTGGATGCCCTAAATTTGCAGACACTGATTTGGTCATGATGTTTTTGATGTTTGGATTCTAAAATACATACTTCATAAAATTAAACAAATCATGGCACATACCTGCAGTGCAACCACTCTGAGAAGATGAGGCAGGATGATCACAAGTTTGAGTTCAGCATGTGCAACTTAGCAACTGATAAAGCCTTTGCCTCAAAAAATAAATTTAAAAAGTCTGAAGGTGTATCTCAGTGCCAAGGCCTTAGATTCAATCTCCAATACTGGTTAAAGGAGATGGGGGGAGAGATAGAAAAATGGGGGGAGAGAAGGAAAAAGAAGGAAGGAAGGAAGGAAGGGAGGGAGGGAGGGAAAATGAAGGAAAGAAGGAACTAGAAAGAAAGAAAGAAAGAAAGAAAGAAAGAAAGAAAGAAAGAAAGAAAAGGGATCAATATGTACATAGGATTCATATAGTGGATTGAAAGCCATGGAGCCATAAGAAAATTGTGAGCCAAAAGGTGACACTTGCAGAACGAGATGTTTATTTTGTTTCAGTGCAAACTACAGGATGGATGGAAAACATGATAAGATTTTCTGGTTCTGCTCCACAGCCTCTGAAGAGCATTTTTAATGTCCCTGTTCCTTAGGCTGTAAATGTATGGGTTCAGCATAGGGGTGACAACTGTACACATTAATGAGACCACTGCACTTTTTCTAGAACTAGATACAAAGGATTCAAGGTACTCTGCAATTCCAGTCCCATAAAATAAGCAAATGACTGATAAGTGAGATGTACAGTTGGAAAATGCTTTATACTTTCCATGTGATGAAGTGATATCCAGAATAGAAGAAACAATTTTATAGTAAGACAAAATGATCACTGTGACAGGAGTGAGACCATAGATAGCACCAATAAAATACATGACTATATTTTTAGTAACACTATTGGAGCATGAAAGACTAAGGACATGAGAAGGATCACAGAAGAAATTAGAAATTTCCACATCTTTAAAATAAGGGAATTGTAAGGCAATTAAATTGTGTACCTGAGATTCCAAAATGCTAAACAAAAAAGACACCAGAACAAAGCAGAGACAGAGGTGGAAGTTCATGATGACATGGTATTGCAAGGGGTGACAGATGGCCACAAACCTGTCAAAGGCCATCACAGTCAGAAGCATGTCATCCATACATCCAAAAAAACAGTAAAAGAGACATCTGGGTCAGGCAGCCCACATAGGAGATGACTGTCCTGTGAGTTAGGATGTTCACAATCATCTTGGGGACCGTGGTGGAAATGAAACAGATGTTAGCCAAGGACAGGTTGGAGAGGAAGAAGTACATGGGGGTGTGGAGGTGGGAGTCAAAGATGATAGTCAGGGTGATGAGCAGGTTCCCGAGCACTGTGACCAGGTACATGGACAGGAAGAGCCCTAAGACGATGGGCTGCTGGTTTGGATCCTCTACGAGTTTCATGAGTGGGAATTCTGATATTCATACAAAATTTTGTGGCTCCGTTTCATGCAGACACCTTGTGAAAAGAAAACAGAGTTGGAAAATGGAAATAGAGATCAAATACTCAAACCATGATACAACATCATTGGCTTAGAATATTTAAGACAATGTACAAGAAGTTTGTGTCCAAGCACTAAAATAAAATTAATAATTCATAATCAGAAAATATTAGGTGTTGAGTGCTTTTGGCTTCTTGTGTGTTTTCCTTTATTTCCTTCATTTATGGCTGAGCTCCTCAGTTCAATTTTGCTTGAACTTTGAAAATTATACAAATGATTCAATATGCAATTTTTATGCTTAATTTTGAAAAATGTAGGTTTTGTTACATTAATGTTAAATGCACATGATCAATATAATCACTGACCCCCCAAGTAGACTTAAATGTACACCATTCCAATGTATGCATAAAAATAATCAACTGCTAAAAGGACTTCTGGATTTTTCGCTGTGTATTTGTATCAACCTTTTATTGCTCAGTAAAATTTTCTCTGAAGAAGACAGTTCTTTGTTTTGCTTTTGTATTCTGTAATAAATATATAGACTAGAAACTTTTGACATTTTAGAAATCTTAGAAATTCTTTTGTGAATTGTTGAGGAATTTATTAAAGCCCCATTCAAAACCTGTCCATCTTATGTCATTTAATAGATTTTTATGTCAATATTTCCAAGTACATGAATTACAATCCTCCTGTCTCAGTGATATCAAGGCAATAATATATGCAAAAGAAAAGGTGCAAAAAAATCTATAAACACATCTTTC